AGTGTCTAATCTGCTTTTAATCTAATACAGTGCATTTTCCATTTAAGATTTTATATTTTTATCTCTAGAAGTTCTATTTTTTCATTTTTAAATTTTCCACTTCTCGTCATGTTAATGTTTTTTCCTCTACATTCTTGAGAAAGTGGAACATATTTATAGTAGTTGTTTTAACTTTCACTTTTGCTCTTCCCATCATCCCTCATTTCTGGATCTGTTCTTCTGGATTGATTTCTCCTTATTATGGGTCATATTTTCATGCATCCTTGCATGCCTGGTAATTTATGGTCAAGTGCCATAAATTTTACATTGCAGATTTTATGTATCATGTGCTGGATTTTGTTATATTTCTTTAAATAGTGTTGTACTTTGTTTGGGGATGCAGTCAAGTTACTCTAAACAAGCTTGCTCCCTTCAGGGCATGTTTTGAAGCTTTTCTTAGGATAGAATGATTAATTATCCTAGTCTGCTTGGGACTAAGGAGGTTGCCAGGACATGAGACTTCTACTTAAAAAGTAGAACTGAGGGGACTTCTGGGAAGCAGGGCTTCCAGTTTTAAGACTGGGAAACTCTAAGCAAACTAGGACAACTTTGTCACCCTGGATCCAGACCATGCTGTAGTCCTGAGCTAACTGAGTCCCACTACTAAATTTTGAGGACCCTACTCATCTTATAAAATCATGACACTCTGTCTAGTGAGAGCATAAACTATTCCTGGCCCTGTGTGAGCTCTGGAGATTGCTGAGGCTACTCCTTTGTGATGTCTCTTTCCTTGGTTACTCTCATGCGTGCTCCGATCAGTCCTCAGCCAGAGGCTTGCAGGTCTCCCTGGTGGTCTTTTTCCGTGCAGTGTGTTCTCCTATACTCTGTCCTGCAAGTTCTAGCCACCTTGACCTCCTTGAACTCTAATTTCTAACTCCTCAGCTAATTGAAGCTGCCGAGCTCTGTTGGCATTCTTCCACACTTCTCCACTGCCTGGAAACTGCCTCCGGGCGGTAAGCTAGGGTAATCATAGGCGTAATTTTGTCTGTTTCCTTTTTACAGAGGTCGTAGTCCTGCAATGCCTGTTGTCCAATGTCTGAAAACTATTACTTAATGTATTTGGTCTGGTTTTCTAGTTGTTAAAGATGAGAGTGTAAATATAGTCCCTGTTACTTCATTGTGGCCATAAGCAGAAGTCCTTACTCTATATTTTATACCTCAATATTTAAAAAAATGTTTATGTTATAAATACTTGAAGGTGTTGCTCTTTTTCTGGTTACACCATTTTTTGCACATTTGGTGTATCGTCACCAAGACAATGAAATATTTGAAAATAATAATGGCAACTGTTTACAGAGGTCTTCTTTCCATGTCTCACTCCTGTTGCTAGCATTTCATGTACATTATCTTGAATCTTTACCAAAACTTTTAGAGATAGGTATTGTCGATATTATTGTCTCCGTTTTAGATATGTCAAAACTGAGATTCAAAGCAGCTGGTCACTTGACCAAACTCATCAGCTTAGTGTATTGAGCAGCTTACTTTTGAATGCAGTCTCTCTGAATATTCCTTTATCCATACCATAATGCCTAATGTGTAGTATTTAAGCAGATAGCACGTCAAAAACAGTTGCGACCAAAATGTTTTTGAGGTCAAAAGGTTAACATCTGCACAAAGTTTCTGTGACTTTGAGGATAGTGTTTTACAGTATAGGTGCATAGACAATGTATTACTTTGTGTGTAACTGTGTCTGTGTGCAGGAGAGGGTGTATGTGTGTATTTATATGCATATGTTTATGTTTGGTGAAGTGGATAAAGCAGGCTTGGCTAACCACATTGACCTTCTTCGAACCCTGATGCCTTTGCATGCAATACTGAAATCGTATCCAATTCCCCAAATTATTGTATTAGTTTCCTAGGACTGTCATAACAAATTACCACAAACTTAGTGACTTAAAACAACAGAAATTTATTCTCTCACAGTTCTGGAGGCCAGAAATCTGGAATTAAGGTGTTGGCAGGGCTGCAGTCCCCCCGAAGGCTCCGAGGGAATATCTGTCCTTGCCTCTCCCGGCTTCCTGGTGTTCCTTGGCTTTTGACGGTGGAACTCCAATCTCTGCCTCCATCTTCAGATAGCCTTCTTTCCTGTATCTCTCTGTCTCTTCTTCTCTTCTTTTATAAGGACTTGTACTGGATTTAGGAGCTACCCTAATCCAGGATGGATTCATCTTGAGATCCTTAGTTACATCTGCCAAGACCCTACTTCCACAAAAGGTCCCATTTACAGGTATGAGGGGTTAGGATGGGGATATTTGGTGGGGGGGGGGGGGGGTGGTCAGTTCAACCGCTACAGTGTCTATGAGAGCTCTGAGGCTCTTCAAAATTGGCTGCTCCTTAAGATTCTCCCAGGAGGGTCATGATGCTATCTTGAAGAAGGAGCTTGGATGCTTCTCTGTTCATTTCCATGGTTGTTGAAGTTTTTAGAAAGTTAAATACAGAAGAATGCCCCTTCTTTGCTATCCCAGCTCTCTGTGCTTAATCCAGCAGAGGCTTTCTCCCCTACAACCCAGGCATTTACCTCCTGTAATTACTCATAAACCGTGACTAGGAATAACTCTAGACACCCAGATCTGAACAAGATGAACTTCCAGCTTGTATATCTAAGCCCGACTGTGTCTTCTCTCCAGGTATTTCTCTTTCCATTTGGGCAGCAAGACAGCTCCTGGGTCTTTGCCAGCTTTGAGTCAGAGTGTCTACCATCCAAGATTCTGATTCACTCCCTTTCTTCATATATTTGGTGCTCAGCTATGCTGTGTTGCAACTCTCTTGTAACTTCTTTTTCTCCACACACACAAGCAACAACTTTTCTTGCTAATTTTTCTCTGTAATCTCGCCAATGAAGTATCTTAAACATGATGAGACTGAGTTTTTAAGGCATTAGAATAATAACTAGGTCGTTACCACTGTTTACTAACCTGGACTCATTAACAGGGCTCTTTGCCTTTCACCTGGCCACAGCATAATGAGGTTATTAATTAGAGCAAGAAACATAAGCACTCTGGGTTTGCTTTAGTGCCATCTAGGGAGATGGCTAGGTCATCGGTCATCATTCCTGGTAAATGTTTCCAAGGCGATATATTTCAATCACCATGAAGTGATGTTCTCCTTCAATGTAAGCTTGTTTTTCTCTTTAAATGGGTTATTTTTAAGTCCATAAAATTCCCAGTTGTAATCCATCCAGTGCCTTATTTAGCTAAACAGTGGGGGCAATGGGGGCAGCAGTTAAAAGTACAGGCTGGAGCCAGCCTGCCTGGGTTTAAGTCCTGGCTCTGCTACTTACTGTGTGACATGGTGCAAGTTATTTAATCTCTCTCTGTGCCTCGGTATTTTCATCGGGATGAATGTGAGGATGAAATGAGCTCATATGCGTAAAATGCTTAGGATGGTATCTGGCACACGGTGAGTGTTTTATATATGTGAGCAGTTATTTTGTATTCATTAAGTCAGAGAAATAGCTTTTGACCTCTGTTGCATATAAGGCACAGTTTTGTCCTATATGCTTTCTAAGATGGGGTTACAGGTTGAATTGTGTCTCCCCAAAATTCATATGTTGAGGTCCTAACCCCTGGGACCTCAGAATGTGACATTATTTGGAGATAGGCTCTGTACAGGGGTAATCAAATTGAAGTGAGGTCATTAGGGTGGGCCCTGATCCAGTAGGACTGGTGTCCTTATAAAAGGAGGAACTTTGGATAAGGAGACACACAGAGAGGAAAAACAACGTGATGACACAGAGGGAGAAGGCCATCTACAAGCCAAGGAAAGAGGCCTGGAACAGATCCTTCCCTCACAGCCCTCAGAAGGAACCAACCCTGTTGACATCTTGGTTTTGGACTTCTAGCTTCCAGAGCCGAGAAAAGAAATTTCTGCTGTTTAAGCCACCTGCTGGTGGTACTTTGTTCTTGCAGCCCTAGGAAACCCATGCAGATGGTTACATCATCAAATCGCCATCCCCAGGGAAGCATGCAACTGGTAGAAGGGATGTGTGTATTCCACAGGACTCTGGTCGCAAGCCACAGAAATTCACTAAATATAGCTTAAACAAATAAGAAAACTAAAAGATGAACTTATGAGAATGCGAAAGTATCTCATAAATTCCAAGGGTAGGATTGTAGCTGGCCCATAAACATCAAGAGCAATTCTCATCTCTTGCCTCTGCCCCTCTCTTTGTGACGGTGACATTCCTCTCTCTCTCCCTCTCTCCCTCTCTCCCTATCTCCCCCCCCCCGCCCCCGGTTTTTTGTGCTTCCCCAATCCAGATGGCAGAAAACATGGTCCCCAATCGCACCCAGGTTTGTGTATTATAGACACAACTCCCTAGAAAGACACTGCATGAATCATGCAGCAGTTTCAAATCTAATGGAAGGGCATCATATTCCTCCACCCTGGGTCAGGGGCCAACCCCATCAACTGGGACCAGTATTTCAGTGCACCAACATGCTGCTTCTATTGTGACCATATGTGTGGAGTGAAGGGATGGGCCGCCACCAAAAAAGGAAACAGGTGGCAGATAACTTGAGAAGGGCCCGTCAACACTGATGAGTGATCACTTAGCTGTCATGCCATACCACTGCTGAGCCTGAAGCTGAAGAAGTCTAGAGCAAATGCCATATTGAACAGCTTTTGGCCTCTTTTAGTCCTGGAGTTAGAGTCGTGTCTTCCGTCGTCAAGGAGGTGGAAATTACTAGTGGTTAAAAGCATGAGTCCTAGAATCAGAGATACGTGGGTTTTAATCCAACTAGGCCTTTTATTAATTATGTAACCTTGGACATGTCACCATGCATCTCTGCACCTCAGCTTCCTCATCTTTCAAAAAGGGAAGTAAATAATATTGCAAACGTCCTAAGTTTCAGGTGCGGTATAAACATTTATTTGGCACCTGTTAGTATCCAATAAATGTTAGTAGTTATTAGCATCATTAGTATTTGATGAACCCTTTTTTGTTTTGCTTTCTCCTTCAGGCTGAATTCTCAGAGTTGAACCTAGCTGCCTATGTTACTGGGGGCTGTATGGTGGACATGCAAGTCGTGAGGAATGGGACCAAGGTGGTGAGGTAAGGAGGATGGAGATACAGAAAAATCTTCATTTGAGAAGTGTTTATGGGATGCCTCGCATAAGCAACCACTCTATCTACTGCCTACAACCTGACTCCTCCACTACGTGCACTTCCACAAACAGACTGTCTTCTTCCCAGGAGTTCCAGGTCTTGTTGTGATAGGAGTGGCTAGGGGGACCAATAATATGAGGAAGAAACCGTGGCATCCCCAAATGAGCCGTAGGCTTGCAGAGAAAAGAGTTGGGTTCCATTTCTGGCTTTGTGGCTCCATTCAGCATGTTCTTTAGGCTCTCTTGCCCTCTGATTCTCATCAGCAGCATGATGATAACCACACTGAAGTGGAAGACTGTATGTGAAAACACCCTGTGAATTCTACAGTATGCACAAATGTGGGGGTTTATTAGAATGAGCTGTATCCTGCTTCCAGCAATATGGCAGACTACGTGTTCAGAGAATCCTACCCCAGGACATCAAACCTAAAAGTACTAGATTTAATATTTTCCCAGAAAATCTGTTTATAATATATGCTGAGCTGGAGGGGAAGTGAGGGAATTCTTCAGAAGCCCAGAAATGACAAGAAAGTATAAATCCACAGGAGAGAAAAATAGTTGTATTAATATATGTCTATCTAGTTAAGTACCCAGAGAGTGATACACACTAGGTCCTCTGAGGGTTTGGATGGGGAAAAAATAGGATTCAGATTTGAGGAAGTAGAGAAAACAGGAAGAACTTTGAGAGGAATGTGGCATTTGTTCTGAGCCTTGTTAAATGGTGGAATATGGGCATACTGTGCATTCTGAGAATAGGAAACAGTCTTTGTAAATGCAGACAGGCCAAAAAAAAAAGAGGAGTATGTTTGGGAAATTATGATAATTCAACTAATTCAGCCAAATAAAATCACCAAATAAAATCATTTACTGAGTGCCTACTGTGTATGAAAAAAACATTATGTGGCTTCTATTTTTAATAAAGGTGGCTAGATTATTTGGACCAACTCTTCCACTGAAAACAACTTAAAACCTGGCTTTAAATAATGATTATCTTCAAAGCCATCACAGAGTTGGCATGACAGTAAGGAATTACCAGGAAGAAAATGATGGGGAAATGGAAACCCAGAGAGATCAATGAGTACAAAAGCTACCTTTTTTTCTGAGTATTTACTAAGTCCAGCAAATTTTAAAATTGGGTTTGATAGCCTAGCAGGGGTAAGGGAGACAGAAATCTACAGCCAGGGCCACTCAGAGTGGGGAATGTAATGGTAGACCCTCCCCACAATAAGCTGAGACCCTGAAGGACAATGCCTTCAAGGTGAATGTGAATTAAAAGTAGATGTGCCCTTACTAGTAATTTCAACTTGAATCGTAGTTTGAGTGGCCTTCCCGGGAACCTCAAACATTAGACTTGGTTGATGGTGCTCCCAGACATGCCAGAAGTAAAAGCAACTCCTCTGTAGAAGAAGCCATTTTCATCCTAGGCTTCAAATAATTATTCAAACCATTTTTGTACAATAGCTAGCACACAGTCAAAGATAACCAGGTGCAGACACCAGGAATGAGAAGAAACAGGAACAATGGACAACAGCAAGAGACCCTCAGAGACATCAGATACTGGAATTATCACACACAGATTCTTAAAAGAAAAAATCACACATGTTAAGTTGAAAAAAATCAGGTTTAAAAATACCTTCAGGGAATAGGGAACTAGAAAATTGACACAACCAAGTTTTTAAAAAACCAAACATAGGTTCTAGGAATGAAAATTATAGTAACCCAAATTATCAGATGTGTTGTGTTTAACAGCCTATTAGACACTTTTGAAAAGGTGTTAATGAAGTGAAAGGTAGAGCTGAAGAAATTACCCCAATTGAAGCACAGAGAGAAAAAGATTGGAAGCGTAGAAGAGATGGATAGATCTCATGGGAAGGTCTAGCATTCCTTTAATCAGAGTCTGCAAAAGGGGAAAAGAGAATGGAGCAGAGACAGTATTTTCAGACATGATGGTCGAGAATCTTTCAGAAAGACACCAAATCACCAAAACCAGAAGCTCAATAAATTTCAAGCAGGATCGATAAAAAGAATTCTGTGCCAAGACACAATAGTGTAAGTGCAGAAAGATGAAGAAAAACATCTTAAAAGTAGCCAGAGAAAAAAAGGCAGATTACTCTTATATAGTAACAGACTGACTGGCATCTCCCACACAGCAGGAGTAGAATGACATCTTCATTGTGCTGAAAGAAAATAATTGCCAACCTATAATTCCATCCTCAGGGAAATGTCTTTTATGAATGAAGGCACATCTTCTCATTTACAAAGAGAAGACCCTGACTAAAAGAAATTGTAAAGTATGTGCTTTAGGCAGAAAGAAAACGATCCCAGAGTAACGTAGAGTTACAAGAAGACATGAAGAGCAAAGAAGGTGGTAAATGTTCATAAACATTGTCTTCAAAAAAACAATAATAGTAATAAGGTCTTATGGATTTAAAAATATATGAAGGATTAAAATACATGACAGTAGGTTAGTGGGGGTTGAGGGTAAATGGAATTAAGGTGTTCTGAGGCCCTTGTATTGTCAGGGAGGAAAGTAAATGTATTAATAACAGGCTTTGAAAAGTCAAAGATGTGTGAGGTAATTTCTAGGGTAATTACTAAAAACAAGAGACAGAACGTAGTACTTAAAAACTATAAGAGAGGGGAAAAAATAAAAGAAATAAAGACAGGAGGGGAAAACCAACATAGAACAGGTATTATAAATAACACAAAAGATGGTAGATTTAAATGCAAATATATCAGCAGGGCTGATATCATTCTGAATGGCTTGTATAGTAGTACAGGCTATTAAAATATTGAAATTTTTCTATATAAGTTGATAAGTAGCCTCTGCTCTGAGCCCACCGAATGCCTTCAGCCACCCTCACTCCATAGATAGGCATGGTCATTGGACTGCTCTTTTGTCCTCCAGGTCGCCATTCTGTCCCCTATCCCATATCTTTGTTCCTCCCATGGTCAGAGGATGTCTAGGCATGTCTAGGAGAGACACAGCCTTGGAAGCAGTAGTAGAATTCCCGAGAGCCAATGCCTGGTTCCCCCTGTCTCTTCAAGGCTGTAAATGCCTATGAGTCCCCTGGAGTTGCCTTCTCCTGCTTACTTGTGAGAACTGCAGCCTCCACAAAGTCCCCTATGAGTTGTTAAATATTTATTATGTCACCAATAGATATCATTACATTAATATCATTACGTTAAACGTAAATGGACTAAATTCTCTAATTTACAGAGTATCTACAGCAAGACTGTCAGAGTAGATTTTTTAAAATCCAACCATATTCTATTCAAGAGATTCATCTGAAAACAAGAATATGGAAAACTGAAAGTTAAAGATGCAAATATATATATCTAATGTAACTACTGGGCAAAAGAAAACTAGCCAATGTAGCTGTATATATATTGGGGAAAAAATAGACTTGCAGGTGAAAAGCATTACTAGGGAAAAGAAAGTAATCCGTTATGATAAAGGATTCATTTACCAAGAAGAGATCATTTTAAATTTAGAAGCACCAAATAAAAATACCTCAAAATACACATCAACAATTGGCAAAGCTATGAGGAGAAATAAACAAGTCCTCCATCATGGGAGATTTTGAGAATGGTGCTAGATATATATGTTCATTGGTTCTCACAGTAGTCTCATTTTGCCCATAAGAACTGTAAAAAACATAAAATGCAATATTTAGGAATCTGTATATGTTCATTTGGGCAATTATTTGTGCTTATGTCTTCTTTTGTAATATGTAGAAATGAGAACATCTATCCCGTTAGTCCTCAAATTTGTCTACAGACTAGAATCACCTGGGAAGTGCCTTAGAATACTGATGCCCAGGGAACATGAAAGACCAATTACACTAAAATCTCTGATGGGAGGACTTAGGTATCATTAGTTTTAAAACTCCCCAGGTGATTTCTGGGAGAAGCCTGACGGAAAACCTCCCCAGATTGCTCTCACAGTGGCCCTGAACTGAGGCTGGGGCATCTGCAAAGCTGAGGATCCTGCTGGATGTGCTGTCTGAATAAGAATCCCCTTGGGATAATAGACATCCGAAGCCTATTCTAGACATACCATCTTCTTCCTGTATTTATAAAAATTGTTTACAAATGTAAACTTACAAAACTGTTCCAAGCGTTTCTTAATCAGCTAGTCAGTCTCCTAGCATTTGGGAATGGCAGGCTTTGAAGACAGCTGTTATGGGTTGAATTGTGTTCCCCCTCACAAAGATGTGTTGAAGTCTTAACCCCTGGTACCTCAAAATGTGATCTTATTTGGAAATAGGGTTATTGCAAATGTAATTAGTTAAGTTAAGATGAGATCATACTGGAGTAGGGTGGGCCCTTAATCCCATACAACTGGTGTCCTTATAAGAAAAGGGGAAATTTGGACCTGGAGACACAGGAAAAATGCTATGTGGTGGTGGAGGCACAGGTGGCAATGATGCATCTACAGGCCATAAAGCGGCAAAGATTGCCGTCAGTCGCCAGAAGCTAGGAGACAGGCGTGGGACAGATTGTCCCTCAGCCCTCAGAGGAAACCAACCCTGCTGACACCTTGATTTCAGGATTCCAGGCCTCAGACGTGTGAGGGAATAGATCTCTGTTGTTTTGAGCCATCCAGTTCGTGGTACTTAGGTCAGGTAGTCCTAAAAATCTAAGACAGTAGTGCTTCTCAAGTGTTAATGTGCATACAACCCCCCCCCCCCTCCCCCAGAGAGCTTGTTAAAATGCAGCTTCTCATCCATTAGGTCTCCAGGTAGGACCTGAGATTCTGAATTTCCTATGAGCTCCCAGATGAAGCCAATGCTACCAGTCCTGCAGACCTCAATTTGAGCAGCAGGGGTGTGACAAGCTCCCAGATGCTGCTAGTGATGCTGGTGGGAGACTATACCTTGTAGTCAGGGATGTGAGAGCAGCACCAATATAGCTAAAGTTCTGGGTTCAGGAACCCATGGCACT